ACTGGGATGCAGTGCTGGCCAAAGGAGGCTGTGCCAGCCCCCTAATCCTCCGTGCCTCGCCCGTTTGGCCTCCGGAAACACCCGGGAGCTGTGCTGCGAGGGCTCTTTTTCTGTGAGGCCCAGTCATGAGCCTCAGTGGCATCTGCGCCCGGAGCTGCTGGCGCTACCCCGGCTGGGCAAGGCAGGGCGAGCGCCGGGGAACTCCTGAGCCCACGTGGGGGCATTGCAGGAAAACTGGTGCCCAGTGCTGGGGAGGTTCAGAGGGGTATGGTAACGCTGCTGCTATGGGCATGGTATTTTTGTTAAAATACCTTTGTATAGACCCTGCTGATGAACCGACACTTTCAGGGCCTTATACGGAATGGGTTGCAGACAGGGAAAACGGTAGAAGTTCACAATCAGATCTTTTAATTTGGAGGAGGGACAGAGGGCTGGCTGTAGCTTCACCACGCAATGCTCGGGTGTAGCTCACCTTTTAGTGCCTTACGAGGGAAAGTAGGTTGTGATGTGGCAGATGAACAGAGGGAAGAGAGGATTCAGCACTGGAACGGAGGTTGAAGAAAGTTTGGCCTTCAGGGCTCGAGTGTTTAACCTGGAGGTAAGGGGAGCTGCCGAGCCGTATCTCGTACAGAGCAGCAGGGCCATTCTTGAAGTTCGGAGGATCTGCTCCAGTCTTGTGTGTATGCCATAGAAGCACAGTGAAGTTTACTGAGTGCTGGAGTGCATCAGATGATGTGAAGACCTTTCATGAAAAGAACCTGTGGAAAAGATTTTGTTTAAATTTTAATTTGTTGAGTTTTCTCTTGCACTTCTGTTTTCATTAAAAATAAATTGAAGGAAAATGCCAAGAAGTCGACTTTGTTCTATTAAGAGTCAGATTGTTTCTGTGAAAGGAAAGATGATGATCATGCTTTTGGGAGAGGTATTGTCAAGCTTTTTTACCCAGTGGAAAGAGGATATGTTCTAGTTGTGTTCTGGCAAATAATAGCACTAATCCAGCAGAAAAGAGTAGACTATTGTAAACTAAACAATTAAACCAGCAAGCGTGCCTGTTTACCCCATCTGCTGAACAGTCATTTGGTAGAATGGCCTAGGAGTTCTTGTACTCACTTTCTACAGCTGAAATAGGACTTTTTTTTAGCATATGTTATTTGAATAGATTGTTTGTTTTGAGAGCGTAGCTCTTGATCTGCCACTTTATGGAAAGTGATGCTTTAGGATGTATTTGTGTGGTGGGCCTGGTGGGCAAAGCTGGAGGTAGCAATCATGAGACTGATTATCATCTGGGCCATGTCATTTATCTCCTGTGAGTCCTCAAGCAACTTAACTCGCACCTCAGTTTCCTCTCTGTAAGTAAGGTATATTATAATATTTTTCTACTTTTATAAGGGTAGTGAGAATAAAGTGCAGCAAGAGATTGCAAGGCATTGTGAAGTGTCATGTGCATTACAGACCTAAGTTGGTCTTAGTTGAGTTATCTTTGTGCTTCACGTTTTGACTTAAGGAGGATACTTTGTGGAAGAGCATGGTTAAGAACCACCGTCTAGTCTGGTTGAAAGCATGTGGATTATTATGACAATGCTTTTATTCTAACCAATTTCAACAATGCATTTTTCTCCTCTGTTTAATCAGTCCTATCTTATAATTTCTATTGCTGCTGTTGCAATTATCTTCTCTGTTAACTGCTTCTTTATTGACAGAACTACTCCTCCTCTTGCTGCGGCAGTGTTTGTGGTAACAAACCTGAGATCTGCTTCTCCTGGAGCACGTCACTGGTTTCCCACTTGCGTGCTGGTTTGGATGCCTTGTGTTACAGCTAGCTGGAGGCTGTCTCTGCCTTAGAAGGGCGGCAGTGTGACTGCAGCTCTGCACAGACTGCCGCTTTCTTGTCCTGGCTGGGTTTGTCTGTGTGTGTGCACAGGAAGATGACCAAGTGTTTGGAGCAGGGACATCAGTGACTCTGTTCCTGCTAGAAGTGGGAGCTAATAGATGGGTCTAACAGTACCTGTACTGATGTCTTAGTTTTCCTGTGTAATTTATCCCATCCTTTTTATGTTTTCTTTTCTAAAACAGCAATCACATAGTGCTGTGGACAAGTGTTGCGTGGTGGTGTGCATCTAGCAAGATGATGATCCTGAGTCATTGCAGTGTTTCAGAACTATTTCTTATATGCTCAGAGCTTTCCAGCTGTCCTGTAGAATCACACTGGCGCAATCAATTTAGGCACTGACGGAGTAGGGTTTGTTATCATGGCTGTTGTATGAAAATAAAAAAACCTCAGTGCTGCATTTTGTATTTCTGCACTGTTGCTTGCTTATGCTGCGTCGTCTTCAGTGTAGTCTTTGACACCGCAAGTGTTTTTCCCTAGGACCTGTGAGGTGCCTCTGGAGTCTGCATTTCTTGGGCATTGTTTCTTTCAAATCGTGAACGCGGGGATGGTGGGATACTCAATGAAAGAGGATAGTGGGTTTTATTCCAGGAGTTTTTTTTGTTTTTTCTGAAAGTCAGATTTTTCCTGATTTCCCATTTCACAGAACATACAGGTTATTGAATTGAATTAGAGAGCTTATATGCCCCTAATAGAGTTTTGTAAATTTTGCAAACTTTTAAATTCTAAAGAGTTGGTGCAGATCGTAGTTCAGGAGTGCGTTATGTTCAGAAAGGTTCCTCATTATGTAGTGGGGAAGTGTCTCATTTGGCATCATGTTTTTAAGAAGATGTGCTTCTCACAAGCAATGCCAAGGAAGAAAATCAAATGTATTTCTCTTTCTCATCTGTGTGCACTGTGGCAGGGAACAGTTTCAGGTTTTTGAGAATTAACTAGGAATGCAGCTAAAGTAAATGGTAGTTGTGTTGAAAACATCCCATTTTGTGTGAGATGGGAAGTGAGCCATTGAGTTCAGGTCCTCTACCATTATGGGAATGACATCATATAATTCCTGGTAGGATTTCTTTTATTCTTAAGTCTTTCTTAATCAAGTGAGCTCCTGGTGATGTTTACCCACACAGCCATGTCAGAAAATGCTTATTCGTTCCCTTTTTAATTTTTTTTCCTTTTTTCGAAAAGTACCAACTGAAAATGTCTGAGAACCCTGACAAGCCACAATCAAATGAAGAGGAGTTGAGTGCTTTGGAGGATGGTCGAGAGGAGACCTTGGACAACCCGGATCAGTCTGTTAGAAAAAGAATACGACAGAGTGCTCCAGGGTCACACAGAGATGATTCACCGAAGTGTAAGCAAAAGTGCTTTATAAAAAGAAAAAGTAAATTCTGTATTTTTTCCGTGGAGACAATCGTGGTGTTTTATAACACTCTGTGCGAGTTTGTCTGTTTTGCAGTTAAATGTTGTGTGACTCCTCATCATTTGCTTCAAAACCATCTGTAACACCTTTCTCCCCATTTTGTTTTAGTACTTAGTTGTTCACAATAACCGTGTTGCTCTGAGCTCCATAGATCTTGGATACCTTTGTGTGTCTGTACTCACAGAAAGGGTGAGCACTGCCCCAGTACATTCCAGCTAAACTGTTGCTGTTTGCATTATCAGCTGAACCTTCTGGATCATTGAGGCCTCCGTTTCTACTGCAGGGCAAGGAAGGCTGTTATCAGCAAAGTAGTCCTGTCCCTCCACTCTCAATACAGATGGAAAGTTGTATATTTAATCATAACGCTACTTTTAGTGTCAAGCAGGACTGCATATTTTAAATTTACTCCTAGAGCATATTTTTCTTTGTCATTCTGCTGTTAATGTGAGGAGCTGGATGCAGTATGGCTACCAATTATTTCTGCAAATCTATAGACAAAATCAAGAGGAAGTTTTCTGGTCCCAGAGATTCAATTCAAAGAGGCAGAATTGCTCAGATTGCTAGTTCCAAATTTCTGTAGTGAGTGTCTCAGCATGTAACTTTTTATTTGTTGCATTCTTTTTATTTTTTAATAGTGTTCATTGTTACTTGAGGTTTAGTGTTGTGTTTAGTGTCATGTTACACAGAGATGTTCTGAGGGAGTTTATGTTCTTACGTCTTGCTGGGTGCCCGATAGGAAACGTGGTGTGTGTATGGAGAGAGGCTGTGAACACGTGAAAGTAAAATGCATAGCAGTCTTGCACTGTGTTGTGCCACAAAGACGTCTCAAGCCCTCCCCTTTTGTAAGAGCGCAGATATAATACGAGAATGAAGTAACATGATTTAAGAGCATTCTTTGGTAAATGAAAGAGTCTTAGCTTTTAGTGCATCTGCTGCTCGAGTGGAGTCGTTTGGCAGTCAGACAAGAGCACTCTCATTCAGCTATGCACTTTGCTGTTTTGCTCGTTCTTCTCAGTGTATCAGTCCTTGCTGGGTTCCCAGAGCCACTGTGCAAGGTAAAGCGCCAGGCAGAAGGAAGTAAGGGTTTAGGAGGGCTGCACAAAAAGAGCAAGGTATTAATGTAAAATTAGCACATTGGAACCATGCTGTACATACTTGGAACAGCTCTGAGTGGCAGACAGGTGATGGAAAGTTGCTTTTAAAGGAGCTTTTCTATGTTACTAGCTTAAGTCCAAGCAAACTGGATTATCAAATGAGGCAGTCATGATACTTTGCCTAAAACAAATCTCAGTGAACCCAGCCTATGAAGATTCCTGGTTGTTTTCTTTCACTTTTGGAATTACTATGTTGCTCCTATGCCCAGACTGTAGTTGAAGTGAATAAACTACATAGAGAGATCTGTCCATTAGGGTAACTCTTGTTGTGGCCTTTTCTCACTTTTCGGCTCCCAACTTTTGGCAAGGCATTGCAGGGCACCCACACACACTGCTCGCACTGATGCTAGCACAGCCAGGAGGAATCTTTACCACAAAGAGTCGGGGGCAAGAGGCTTTGGTTGGTTTCGGTGGGAGTGGGATTACTCCCCTAACCAGTACAGCCTACATCCTCGGCACCTCCTCTGCCTTTATGTTGACTTGTTTTTTAGGGCTGTGACACTTCCTGCACTACAGCAATGCTCATAATGTCCTGGGAGGATGTTGTGTAGTCCAGAACAATTAGGAGTCATAATTCCCAGTGCATCCAGGAGGCAAATTTTCTGAGACTGTCTCTGTCCCTCTCCTACACTCTAGATTTCTACAGTCAGTCACTACCTTTGTCCCCTGCATCACGAAAACTGGCCTGTTTTTTCAGATTTGATGCTTCTTCCTACTCCTTTGTGTGCTTCAGGCCAAACTTGAAGCTGCTTGCCCAGTCAGGCCCAAGTGCCAGACAGAGGAAGAGGTCTCTGGCATTGGTGCTGGGACTAGGTCTTGATGTCCTCTGTTGCTTGGACAATGGCCTCTGGGGAAAAAAAGAGAGTTTGGAGAAGTGCCAGCTGCACTGGAAGTAGTGAGAATAATTAGCTACTAGTGTGGCATTGGTTAATGTTAATGGTGGTTTGTTTGCTGGCTGCTTTAGAGATGAAGTCACTTCCTTGAAAAAGATAAAATTGAAATGGCAACATCTATACAGTGATTGGGGAAATAGTGTAGTGAAAATGCTAGTATTTTTAATGATTTTTTCCAGACAATATGAAGAAAGATGCAAAGATGCTATTAAGCAGTCCTAAAGAAGTAGGGGTTTGGGTGTGAAATTCATTTTTTTTGGGTTTTGATTTTGATTTTGCTTTTAGAGGAGCCTGATGGGACTTGGAAGCAATTGACCCTCTGAGCCCAGAATATCAACTGGGGTTCATGTCTTTGTTTCTTGTAACACGCCAAACCTGTGTCATCCACCAGCTGGGAAGGAAAGGAGGAGAATCTTCAGATGATGCTGTTTTTTGGCCCTCTGTACTGCCAAGAAGGTGGAAAGGGTCCAAAAGTATTGGCAGACTTTTTTCCCACAGAATTCTGTAAAGAACTGTCTGACAGTTTAATTTATGTTGCAGCCAGTCCTCCTCGGCCTGTGTCAATAGAAGAGCTCATGGAAACAGCTAAGGGAGTAACCAACATGGCACTAGCACACGAAATTGTTGTTAATGGTGACTTCCAGATAAAGCCAGCTGAATTACCAGAACACAGGTAAGATTGCTACCAAATAGATCCATAAATTAAATTTGCATTTGTAGAACTGCAGAACAGTTCTAGTGGATCAGGTAAATGCTCTGGCTAGTATCTTGTCTGGCAAGGAGATAGGAAAGAGCATTAAGAAGGTAAGCATTTCTGCTTCCCCAGAAATGTGTATGTGAAAGATGAACTGTCCTGGAGTAATTGTGTGGGCATGTGTCGTGCAAATTCCAGTGTGGTGTGGTTTCTGTCGGTGTCCCCATGTCCCAGGAGCCCAAAACCACTTTCTTCTGAATACCCAGGTCTAGTTGCAAATAGAGGTAGAGCTTTTAGCATCTTTTAAGCTTTCGCTGTGTGAGGGAATAAGATGAAACTCTTTTAGCTTTTTCTGAGCCTAATGTCTGTTTCTCAAGGGATTTTTTGGGAGGAGATTCCTATGTTCCTATGCATATTCCTAAGTCATTGCTCCTTTAAGTTTGGCATCTTTCCTTCTCTGTCTGATCTACAGTAATTCTATCCACTGCTGAGAGGGGAGAGGGAGAACAGAAGAGGCCTTGATGTCTGTGGCTGCAAATTAGCCAGAGTAGCTGACCCAGTCTTATCGAGGGAAGCTTCTGTTTTTTTCACACACAGAGATGTGGCTGACAGTTTCCTGGGTTAATTTGTGAAAGTGAGTGCATATTTCATGGAAGAAACCTGGTCCACATTGGAAACGAAAGTTGTCTGTTGATGTCTGTGTTTGAGAGACACCAGAGCACATTACCTTCATGGGTGCTGCAGGAGAATATGCTATGGATGGCTCTTAGAAGACTGGCATTGGTTGTCATCTGTAGAAAGTGGTCATACCGAGACAAAAGGTCTGCTGTTCATCTCCACCAAAACAAGGTGATGGTGGTTCCTGTTAGCGTTGGTGATGAGAGGATGTTGTTTGGAACTAGAATTGTCCCTGACTGAAAAGGCAGTAATGGGAACAGTCTCATCTTCCCTTCTCACCTGGACTGTTCCTGTCTTTCCAGCTCTGACAGCCCTGTATTATACCAGTGGTGTTTTATTAATGGCTGTGAACTGTGAAACAATCAAAACCAAAGAGCAGGTGCTCATGCTATTACATACACTGAGCTTCGTGATCCCAGGAGTTGCCTTTGAGTAAGGGCTGAATGGAGCGGATGAGGGTCTCTGCTATACTTCGTTCATTTGTCTCAAACTCTTAATTGGTAGGAAATGGAATGGAGGCCCCCTTAAATGTTGAGGACAAACAACATTTAACTGAGTTAGCACATGATAATGGACACATCTGTTGTCCATCGAGACTCATATTTTAGAGCTCAAGCAATGATTTGATCTGTCTTCTCAGCACTGTCTTTCAGTGTCTGCCTTGTCTGTTAGACCAGGCAGTGTGGCTCAGTCCTCCTTTGTTGTGTTACTTGCAACAGGTCATGTGCAATTCCTGTGTGGCCCCATGAACCTGTCTCCAGCCTGCACAAATGCTGCCTCTGAAGCAAGCATTTGAAAAGCACACTTGAGACATGCAAAGCTCATTCTCCCCATTCTACGTTATCTTCTCTGTCCCAGCATCTTTTGGGGGAGCTTCCATCAGGTGTTTTCTGCTCGCAGTTGATGGCTTCATCTAAAGTCCCACAGTTAGGAGAGGGCCGTTCTATCTGGTGTCCACTTCTGCTCCATGTTCCTTCATATGGATTTCTCATGTGAAAATGTGCTGTGATAGTGGATAACTTTTCTGGCATGGCTCAGTGCCTTAAAATTAATCTCAGCATTTTTCAGGGAAGAGAGATTTTAGCATGTTCTCTTTTTTCCTATCCTTTCTTCTTTCCTCATCCCCTTAAAAATAATAATTAAAAATAAAATAAAAGGAGGGCAGGAGCCGGAGGCCTGTCCTGTGCCTTGGAAGGTTGGATGCTTTTGCTCACTGATGCTGAGCAGTGGCTGTAGTTGTTCACCAGAGTGGGTGATTTGCATCTCTCCACCTGGTCACAGAAGCGGACGTGTTGCAGAGGTCACCTTGCTCAGGAGCGCCTGGGCTTTGTGATGGGCCAGGTGTGCTTTAGTAAAAGATCTCTGTGTTTGGCTTTTGTGGGGGTTTTGGTTGCTGTTATTTACCACCCAGAAAAGAAAGAGCAGTCCTTCAGATTTTGCTTGAAGAAGGACTCTGGAATCTTCCTTGGATTAAATATTTTGTGTGTATATGTATAGCTTAGAGTCCCCGCAGTTTGACTGTAGGTGTAGACAAGTGATTGGAGGAAGATGCGGTTGTTCCTGTATTTGCAGTTGTATACGCTGTCAATAGAGCTCGTGTCTCAGAGCACCACAAGGCATAAGTGCCTGTGGGCACTGCCTGAACCTCTGCTGCACATGGAGTCAGGGCCTTGGGAATCTGGTGTTTGTTGTGAGCGTTCTTTGTGTGCGTGTGTACGTGTCAGCATTTTACTTCCTTGGTCTTGAAGTTAAACCTGGTGTGAACAGGAGCCTGCTTGCTGAAGAGGAGTAACTTTCAGTATTTTGAATTAGAAATTGGTACTGAAGCAGTGGAATTAATTTATTTTTTTCCACAAACTGAATTGGGCCTTTATCTCAAAGCAGGGCCATGAAGATGATCAGGGGGTTGGAGCACCTCTCCTACAAAGAAAGACTGAGAGAGTTGGGGTTGTTCAGCCTGTAGAAGAGAAGGCTCAAGGGAGACCTTGTAGCAGTCTTCCAGTTACTGAAGGGGGCCTACAAGAAAGCTGAGGAGGGACTTTTTACAAGGGCACATAGCAATAGAACGAGGGGCAATGGTTTTAAACTGGAAGATGGTAGATTTAGACTGGACATTAGGAAGAAATTCTTCACTGTGAGGGTGGTGAGACACTGGCACAGGTTGCCCAGGGAAGCTGTGGATGCCACCTCCCTGGAAGTGTTCAAGGCCAGGTTGGACGGGGCTTTGAGCAACCTGGTCTGGTGGGAGGTGTCCCTGCCCATGGCAGGGAGGTTGGACTGGATGAGCTTTAAGGTCCCTTCCAACCTGAACCATTCTGTGATTTATGTGTTCAGATGTAGAAGCATTTTTGTCAGGAGAGTTAATTAATTCCTTTTAGGTTTACTTAATGAATTTTACATAGTAGAATTGCATTTCCTTCGTGAGGCTTTTTGAAAGGAACATCAATACTGGTGTTTTGAAGACAAGCTGCAATTTGTGTGGGTTTGTTGTGTTTTTTTTAATTCTTCAGTTGTTTAGAGGTAGCACTTCACAGATACTTTCAAGGATTTTGATTTGTACCTGACTTTGCTTGTTTGTAACCCTTTATTAGGAAATAAGCCATTCCAAATCCTGTGTCCAGTTTTTCTTGCTTTTTTGAGTAACTTAAGATGACAGAACTCTGTTAATTGTCTTGTATTCATTATTACATTATATTGATATTATTACGTGTTCTTCAGGAGCTGCAGGTTATCTATGTAAGGTGGTGCAGAGACAAATACCTTTCTTTTTGACTGGTCATATTTACCCACAGCTTAGAAAAAAAAGTAAGAGATATTGTGCATAAAGCTTTTTGGGATTGTCTGGAAGCTCAGCTAAAGGAAGATCCACCAACGTATGACCATGCAATTAAACTATTGGGAGAAATTAAAGAGGTAAGATGGTGTGATATCGAGGTAAGTTACTGATTTTGTGTAGCTGCATTGGTATGACTGGGTAAAAGTGGTTGAAGTTTGGCTTTTCATAAAGGACTTTCTTGGTCTTTTTCATGACTGTATCGTTATCTATGGACATACCTAAGTTGTATAACCCTAGAGGAGAAACCAGAATGTAAAAACAAATGCAAAGCAATATAAGATGAATACAAGAGAAATATTAGTTTTATCATTCCAAGCTTCCTTCATGTTATGACAGTGGTATTAGTTATGGAGTCAGTGAGATGCTCCAGCAGGGCTGACAGAACCACGTACGGTAGTCTTAAGTGCAATCAGTACTACAGTGTATCTACCCCTTAGTAACTTCGGTATCGTGCAGAATGAGGTGAAACACTTGGAGGTGGTGAACAGATGGTTAAAAAAAAATTAAAAAGGGATTCCACTTGTAAAGGGCAATTAGTTTAAATAAAAAAGTTTAAATAAAAAAGTAGCTGTTTTGATCTTTGTAGTCTTTGATATGTAGAACTAATGCAATGTTAAAAACTTTCCATTCCAGAATCTCCTGTCTTTCTTGTTGCCTGGTCACACTAGACTGAGAAGCCAGATTACAGAAGTTCTTGATCTGGATTTGATAAAACAGGAGGCAGAGAATGGGGCGCTTGACATTTCTAAGTTGGTTGAATTTGTTATTGGGATGATGGGGACTCTCTGTGCTCCAGCTCGAGATGAAGAAATTAAGAAACTGAAAGATATTCATGAAATAGTTCCTCTGTTCAGGTACCGAAATGGTATTTATTAGTCATGTTGAGAGTCTCTTAAATGATTTTAGAGGGGGTAGTGTTCCAGCAGGGCAACCTGCAAATCTTTGTAGAAAACTGGAGTGGTAGGGGAAGGGATATAGCTGTGGGGGTGAAGGGGAGGGATTCTCCAGAAGTCCTGAACAAGGGCCCTCTTTGTTCTGGTGACTGGAATATTTGTCTGGCTCCTGCATGTCACTGAAGGACATTTTCTTAAATGCCAAATGCATATAAGCCTGAAGATAGCAAGTGAATGGTCAGTTTGTATCAGAATTTAATACTGACCACAGAAGGGGGGGAAAAAACCTAGCCAGGAGCATAGGAAAAAAGTATTATTGTTCTCCTTTCCCCCCAGTCTGAGCTCTCTTTGCCCCTCACGCCGTTCCCGTTCAGTTCTAAAAGAGGGCGTACAAACCACATCTGGGAGCACAGAGGCTTCTACTTTGTCACCATGTTCTCAGTTGAACAGCTCAGGGTCTCAATAGTTGGAAGAAATTTCCTTAACCTTGTTGATTTCTAATCTGATAAACTTCCAAGAGCTCAGGATTGACTTGGCAGAAATACTGCCAGCAGCAATTAGGTTGTTTTGAAATTAAAGGAGTTGTTCTTCGGTTGGTTGGTTGGGTTTTTTTGCCCTCTTCTCTCCCTTCCCCACCCCCTCCCTCCGCCTCTTTTCCACCTTGGGTGTTATTATTCACAGCCCTCTGGAGGGCTGGAGTTGGCTTTATAAGCTGCCAACAGAGATAGTGTGCAAGTTTGGAAATCCAGATGTTTTTTCTGTATTCAGCATACAGTATTGCACATACTGGGAAATATAATCTATGGAGCTAGTAAAGTTAATTCCATGGAGGGTTTTTTACAGGAGAGCAACTTCTGTTTCCTACTGGGAAGAGCATGTACACGCTTGCTCAAGCTTTCTCTGCCTCGCGCTCTTGAATTGTTGCGCACCCTGTTAATGTTTCCCATGCATGTTTTTGCGCTTTCTTTAGACAATCTGTAATAAATCTTATGAACAGTATCTCTTAAACAGCTGCAGCCTTGAATAACTTTTTCTGTTTGTTTGTTTAGAGCAATTTTCTCTGTGTTAGACCTAATGAAAGTGGATATGGCAAACTTCGCTGTCAGTAGTATTAGGCCAAAATTAATGCAGCAGTCTGCTGAATATGAAAGAAGGAAGTTTCAGGAGTTTCTTGAGAAACAGCCAAGTATGACTTTGTTCCTTTCTTTCTTCCCCACTGACCTCCCAGTAAACTGCCTGTCTTTGCTTGTAGATTATGAAAAGAATTTGGATTTTTTTTTTTATTATTTACAAAATTCAAATGGTAAATGACAGCTTGTGCCCCAAGCCTGTGGTTTGAAAAAAATCTGCCAGAATGACAGTTCTGCACTGGCGTTTAGTTTTGTTTCAATATAGCGTAGGGCCTAATTAGCCAGCATCATTTCACCTCTAGTTTCCTGTAGCTGTGTGGTTTTAATTTTGGAATGTTCTGCTTAATGTAATAAATGAAATGCATGTCAGTAACAGGTATAATGAGTATTAGTAGTAGCAACTAATGGGATTAATTGGAAATTATTGGTGGAAAAACCTAACTTTGAAAAGGAATTTTCTTAACAAGATCTTTTTTTCCCTGCTTTTCCAGATTCTTTAGACCTTGTCAAAAGGTGGTTGCAAGAAGCAGCAGATGATCTTGCAAAGCTGAGATGTAAAATGTTGCCTCCTCACTGTAGTGATGATGGTGCCACGGGTGGAGCTTCCGCCTTGTGCTCCACTGCTGTACAAAATCAGGCCTATCTGAAGCTCCTAAAGTGGGATCATGTAAACAGGCCTTTTCCAGAAGTAGGTATTTAACAGCAAAATTGATTTCTGTACTTGTTCTACTTTTCTGTTTCTGGGGTGTAACAGAAGCTGGTTGCATTTGTAGCCTTGCAATAAGTACATTTATCTCTTGATCGGGAGCTTCTGTGGTTCTTCTAATAGGTACTGCTTTTTCAGTATTGAAACTTTTATGTAGTTGGAAAAGAGGAGTCCATTCATTCATTTTGTTCCTGATACTTGCCCGCTGAGCATGTGTTGCTCTTTCCTGTGTCTTTGTCTTACTTCACTGCTGTGAGCAGCTGGGCATCACAGCGTCATGTCACAGCCCAGCATTCTGACTTTGTTGTGTGCTGGCTTCCTCATTCTTTGCAGACAGTGCTAATGGACCAGACCCGCTTTCAGGAAATCCAGCTGGAGCTGGAGCAGCTCCTCGTGACTGGGACCATCCTTCTGGTCACCTTCAGTGCAGCAGGCTCGGTGCTCATCGATATGCCTGGTTTTGCAGAGAAAATCAAAACTATCGTCAAGGTGCTCCTGACAGGAATGCATCTGCCGTGAGTATTGAATGGTCCTGCTCACACAGAGGCAGGTGTAGTTCCATTTTCACCCCAGTAAATAATCAGTTTTAAACTGGCTGTGGACTGCAGAGCATGTAGAGGCAGTGATGAGGGCTTTTTCTGAGCCCAGGCTGACAGTTTTTATTCAGCTTACTCAGACAGATCTGTCGTTTCTTGCTCCGTTCTTTTCAGATATGTACATGCACCATTTTTCAAAGTGTATGTTTGCCTGGTTGGCCCGTGAGAGTGCCAGCAGGTAACCATGCTCACAGTTTGGGCTGGGCTCCCCTGAGAATTTGAGTGTGGTACAGTGAGCTGCCTGCAGATTTACAGTGATTACTCTGCACGTTCTGGGTTTTTGCATTAGTCGGAGCTGTCTGTGTAGCAGGAAATTCAGCTCTTATTTGCATGGTTTGTCCAGGCTACCAACCTTTAATGTTATCCCACTTCCTTGTTTTATATCTCAACTTTATTCTTCATATGTATATAAAGTATTATTCCTTATAGTTCTGGCCTTTATCTGGATTAATGTTCTTCCACTACATTTGATAAATAAGACAACTGTAATTGGATAGTTTATTTTTAAAATGTAGGAAAAACGTGAATAACTAGAATAGCTAAGTAATGCTCTGCTCCACATTCTCTAGCTCCTTTAACCTGACGGAAGCTTTGGCCACCATTGGGGAGAAGGTGTGTGCTGAAGTGAACAGCTGCCTTTCCCAGCATGGGTTTACACCGTTCTCAGCTGAGAGAGAGACTGTGCTTAAAGGACAAATCCAAGCAGTGGCCAATCTGGATAACACCATATGCAAGCTAATGGGTATGCTGTGAAAAAATGTGCTCAAGTGACCGCTCCTCTGTCTTTGTAAAACTGTTGGTAGCACGTCATACATGGCTTCTCATTTGATCTGTTTCACGTACCTGTTTACTGTGGTCAGGCTTTCTGTATTCTGCATGAGATTACACTATTTCTAATTGACGGGCTCTTTCAAAAACAAACCAAAACCCTTGGTCCAATTTTTCCAGATTCTCGAATTCAGAAATTTCTGGAGAATTACCTTGCATCCAGTCACCAGAAATCATTACCTGCTCTGCCTGGAGGATTAGGCCCTGTTCAAAGAGAGCTGGAAGAGATTGCGGTCAAGTTTGTTCGCCTTGTCAACTACAACAAAATGGTCTTCAGCCCTTACTATGATGCGCTCCTCAGCAAGATACTGACTAAGGAGAAATCTCAACTTGCCGGGAAGTCAGAAGAACCATAAAACCAGTTTGTATGCGACCAATATGGTATCTGTCAGCTATATTAAAAAATTGCACCAATATTTGTCTAGGAATACAGCTTCCCATGTAAATACTGGTTCCTTTAATTCAGTACTGATGATTGATGAGGAAAATAGATGAAATGCAGAAGGGGTTCTGAAGTAAATGATGGAAGAGATGCATTTCTAATGTAAGTGTGCAGCCTGGGGAGGGGGATGTCTTGGTAGTTTTCTGGCTTCAATTTTTGAGCTGATGCTAGGTAGGACAAGTTTAAGAACCAAACTTTGTATTTAAGTGGCTCATTTTAGGGCATTAGACTCTAATTTACCGTGACTTTTGTTTAATTAATCCAGAGAAGATTAGCAATGGTCCTTCCCAGAAGGTGATTTGGCTTAAAAAAGAAAAAAATCTTTCTTTAGAGACTTCAAAAGTGAGATAAAATTCTAGATAAGATAAACTTTAACAGGCCAAAAACAAAGCCAAACAGCACTTTATTGTAACGTTATGGTTAGTATGGTAGGCTACTAATTTCTTCTGCATTTTACTGCGTTTTTAATAGCATTTTTTTGCTGTTTACCTGCAGATATTACAAAACACATAATATATTTTTGTAGCAAACTTTCTGGTTATTGGGTAACTGTCCTCTGCTATGTACAGTCCTTACAAAGGTGGCAATCTTATAGATTGCAGCTGTACTTATCTCTTGTACAGACTTCAGAAGGGCGGAGCTAAAATGTTTTGATAAAAGTGGCATTTCTTACTTTTTTTTTTTGCTAGTAGTTTACTCCTTTTTATGTGAGATACTGATTTTAAAGTAAACTTTTGTCATTTTTCCAAAAGTGGATTTAAAGTGTGTGAAAATTTAGGTTGAAAATTTTACTTGTTTTTTAAAACTGCAACTGAAGATGGCTGCATATTCAATCAGATCTTCAAAAATACCCAGGAAGTGCAGAGCACTATCGGAAGTGATTTTAATGTGAATGATTTAATGTTAGTTTAAATACACAGGGCTTATATTCTGTAGAAGACTTTTTTCACTTTGTAGAGGTATTTGTAGGTCTTGAATTTAATTAGCTACCTGTTGTATAGATGAGTATTCACAGAAGAGCTCAATGATCTTACAGCCTTTTTGCAATTTGAAGCTGAGCTAGGAGGTAAGTACCTTTGAAATTTTCCTCTAGTTGAGCAGAACCTGTATTACAGTAATCAAAATTTGATGATTTTAGGAAAGCAAAGTTCATCGTTACGAACAGTAAGTGTCCCAAGTACTAGACTATCCAGAATTGAATGTGTTACTGTCTCAAATAAAAACAACCCACAACAAAACACAAAACCCAAGTTATGCAGAATAGACAGAAGGGTGCTTTTATTGCTAACATCCAGATTCATCATATTAATCAAGTAGTCAACCAAAGTAATAGAATTTGTAGAAGAAAGCATTTGATTATGAATCAGTGGTTTCCCTTTCCAGTTTTCCTTTTAAATGTCAGCATGGATAGAGCTGCACTAACTTTGAGTTTGGAGGAAGGTGGGATAGGTAAGACCTTTTATTCCATATTAGCCTGTGCAACTATAAAACACTTCTTTTCTCATTCATTATAAGCTCCCTTCCCTAAGGGGGAAAAAACCCAAAACCCCTCTAAGAGATCACCAACTCAGACAAGCGATTTTTCTCTTGGCTAAATGGATGTCTGTCTTTGCATCTTTCTTTAATAACCCAACAATGAGTAGGCTGTTTAGCCAGAAAATAAGTTCTGAGTAGTTTTTGGTGTGGTCTATTTCATTGTTTGAATTGGCAAAAGACACTGCAGACGTCTTCAGGATTGCTGCATCTGCTTACTGCACTGGGTTGGTAGTGCAGGATCCACCTCAAAATACAGCCTATAGCTCTGCAGCTCAAAACAAGTAATTCAGTAGTCTAACAAAAGAGCTACCAGAAACATTATTGCTAGAGAGGTTTAAAAAAATAAATAACAAAGGCAAAGCTGGTTTCATTTTTTGTTAAATGAGAGTTGCAGAAGTTATAAATTGCTGCTGTGATTTTATATTTTAGCATTACCTAGAAGCTGCCGTCAAAGGCCGCTGTGACTTGTGTGTACTACAGAAGTTTACATGCTGTAGGGGATGATCTCAAGGATGTGGGGAGGAACATCACGGTGACACAACATACTTAGAAAAGACTTGGAAAAGTATGTGACTGACACCAGAGTGAGTGGGACTGCATTATCAATAGATAAAACTGTACTTACTTTATTTGGGAGATGGCTGCTCCCAGTGCTGGAATTCAGAGTCCAGATGTCCATGGCTGCCAGCTCCTGCTGACTCCAAAGTTGAAGCATGGGTTGCACTGCCACCAGCACGTGCATGTTGCTTGCAGGGTGGCTACAGTACAGCCCATCTCTCCGCTTTGTAGGGTTTTGATCTTAAAGGTTCATGTAGAAGAGGGCAGTACCCACATCTGGTGCCAGTCTCGCCTTTGGGGGTACCCACAGTGGGAGGAGTGCCTCTGTGGGTGGGTGCTGTGGGCCTTTCAACAGCAAAGGTCTACAGAGACAGTAATAAATGCCCACAAGTGCAAATCAGCTTAGTGATTTTCCTAGGTTGTTGTTTTTTAATGATGATGGTTGACAAACACTTTCTCTACATCCTTTTTTAAAAGGGAGAGGGAGGTAAGATTAAGTGGCAAAGCAAAAAAGAAATTCTAGGATTGGTAAGACCAAACCCTCCCTCCCTGTGAACACTTCCATGGTTATACTTGTGCTGCTTTACCTTTTGGTCTGGTAGACAGGAGCACTGATCTACAGCCATCCATGACCCACAGTCATCCATGCTGCTGGGGGTGGTAACATCAGTCCATCTGTCCGAGTACCCGCATTTCCTGTAGTCCATGGATGTTCTTACAGTCTTACCAGAGTGCAATTCTGAATAGTCAATTACAGGTTAAAAAATCTAAAGTATGCATAGAAACTGCTTCAAACGTTCATATAGTGTTTTTGTTAGCTTGTTTGAAAATGACAGGTTAAACTATGTAGCGAATATATGAACATTTGTTAAGTGGAAGAGCACTGCAGTTACCCAGGAACAGCCCGTGTTCACCAGTACTGCTGGGCAGTCCACATTAGAAACATGTACCAGGTTTGTCTTATGATGCTGTTTTCTTTAAACAGTCTAATGGAATTAAATGCAGAAGTATACTGTATCCTCTAGAAAAATGGAAGAAAAGCTAATCCTAATGTGTATGCTCTGATCAATTTCCTGTGGTGGTCTTATTAACATTGCATTTGAAGTGGCTGAGTAATATTTAAGAAGTAACTTCTTGTGTTTGAATAAAACCAGAATGAGGCATGATGTTATGGATATCCTTTTATTTTAAAGGAATGTATTTTCCATTTTCAACTACAAAACAGATTCCTTACATTCTGCCATAAATAAAAACGAACAATAAGGCAGGACACTACATGAACAAACTGAGAACAACTGTTTTCCAGAAAATGTGAATTAAAAATGCTTCACAAGTATAAGCCATCCAGTTTTTAAAATAAAACTGTTGAAAACCCACAAGATTTCAAGTGGTAGATGTGAACACCCTTGAAGAACAAAATGCACTTTTGACATTTTGCACTTTTGGCTTTGAAAACTTAGTTTTATTCAGAGCACATTCTAAGGTTGTTCTGGTTGTTTTCGGATCAAGAACCATATGGGAGAAGAGGCACCACAGTAACAAAACCATTTTCAAGATTTTTTTTGTTTGCAGCTGTCCTTTTTAAATGCTTGACTTTGAAGAGACTGACAGACTCAATGCAAGTCTTTGTCTATTGCAGTAAAACTCCCAACTTGTTTCACCGGATTCTCTTTTGCTGTCGTGCTCTGTAAATGTCGTGTACAGGGGGGACTACAGATCCTTTCTCCTCGTCGTCATCGGAATCCTCATGTGGTCTCTTAACAGCCTTATTGAGTATAGTGTTGTTTTCCACAGGTCCATTGCCTTCTACAGCTATTTCAGGTAGGCCTCCAGTAATTATTCGTACGGCTTCATCGACAGCTTTAGAAAGAGAAAAAGATTAATTGTGAAACTAAATTCTCTGATTAGAAATAAGCATGCAAACAGGGACACCAAAATAGATACGTTGTGGAGATTTCTGGAACCATTTTCCTACCCTACTCTACAAATGTTAAGAATCAAGCCTTGACTGTCTAAAACTCCGAGCTATGGCAAACACTGATTAAAAAGTAAATGCTGCTGCTTCAGCTTAAGCCCTCCCTTTACACAAGTACAGAGTCATTTACCAGATGAATTAAAGAAGAAAGCCTGTTGGGAAAACAGTGTAACTCGTTCATGATTCATCAGAAAGTATGCACCACAAGTCAGTTTCTGCTTACGAACAGAGAAAGCTTCAAAAATACCAAGTATAATTAAATAGATGTTTTATTTCCACTCTAAAAAATTAAATCCTAGCTTGCTTTATCTCTGGTAATTTGCTCCTTAAGCTAACAGAGGGAGTGAAAAGTAGTGTATTATCACCTGCTGTAGTCTGCATGACGCCTGGGGTGTGGATCTGTCCTGTTTTTATATTTCAGAACTCTACCTTTGTAGGAGCTCAGACACCAATTTTCTTGAATCGTTCTCAAGGAGTGCAGCAATGTAACTGCATTTGGAGTTATGCCTCCCAATGAACCCACCATGCTGCAAATTTGTAATTTAATGTTACAGTGCTGCTAGCAATAATGCCTTGTTTCTTTTAAAGGATATTCTGAAGATCTCAATTTCTTTCTTTTAGTGATTACCACCAAAATGTTACTGAAGTAGCAGCTGGTGATTTTTTTCAGCTTTTTAACTTTTTCTTGATCTCTCCACAGTTAAATGTGCAAACTATATAGGCTCCAACCTACAAGCATAGCCAATTCAACAGTATACTCAATAATAATTTCATTTACAGATATGTAGTCTGGATTTTAGACAGTAATATCCATATGTAAAACAGAGTCAAATACAGCACCATCA